TGAGGATCCCCCCGGTGCTGAGGGAGGTTGCATATTGCCCCGGAAGGGGGGAGGGGGGTCCTTCCTTAGTCCACCATTGACACCCCCTGGCGGCGAACAACAGCCGCCGCCGCCGCCGCTGCCGCCATGGGAGGCCTACTACCCCCCCGAGTGTGTGTGTGTGTGTGGGGGGGGGGGAGCTGCGGCTGCGTGCTGCTTTCCTTCGGCTCACAACCTGTTCTGTCTTCCTCTTAACAGCAGCAGCAGCAGCAGCAGCAAATTCGTAGATTGCATTTACCCGAGTATATCTCTTTACCCGTATCCCCTCCCACGCGTGTGTGTGTGTGTTTGTGTGTGTTTGCATAAGGCTGCTTCCCCCGCCATATTCCCCCCGTCCCCCCCCGTCATCAATAGACCCTCAGACCCCGTTTCCTCTCCACCTCCCCTGCATTGGTGGATTCCGCCGTCCCAAAACCCTCTCCCCCCCCCTTCCCCTTCCCCGGCCCCCGCCCCGCAGTGTGCCCCGCAGTCAGCGGAGCGGTGAGGTGATTGAGCCGCTGCTGAGCGAGCAGTGGTTCGTGCGCATGGGCCCCCTGGCCGCACCCGCGCTGGAGGCGGTGGCGGACGGGCGGATCACCGTCATGCCGGAGAGGTTCGCGCGCACGTACAACAACTGGCTGGAGAACATAAAGGTGGTTTGGGGTAGGGGGCGGGGTAGGGGGTGGGGTAGGGGGTGGGGTGGGGTAAGGTAGGAGCAGCAGCAAGGTGGCTGTGGGGAGGAGGAGGAGGAGGAGGAGGAGGGGGACCAACTGGAAGGCATTGGTAAGAGCCCTGATCTGTTTGGGCGGCAAAGCTGAATGAACGGGTAAGTGAAGGTGTGGCGTGCCCTCCTCGGCCGCCTGAAGCCGGCATCCCCTCCGCGTCCCCCCCCTTCGCCCCTTCCCCCTTTTCCCCCTTCGCCCCTTCCCCCTTTCCCCCCCTTCGCCCCTTCCCCCTTTCCCTCCTCGCCCTCTCCCCCGCTCCCCCCTCCCCCTCTCCCCCCCTCCCATCTCTCATATTTCCCCACACAGGCAAGCAAGGCTCCCTTTCTCGCTCACCCCGCCCTCTTTGCTCGTCGGTATAACGTAGTTACCCCCCTTAGGGTAACTAACCCTCGCTGTGTTCCTCCCACTCTGCCCCTCTCTCTCTCTCCCACTCTCACGCACTCTCGCTCTCTCACTCGCTCTCTCACACGCACACGCAGGACTGGTGTATCAGTCGGCAGCTTTGGTGGGGTCACCGCATCCCCGTGTGGTACGTGTTTTCCTCGGAGGATGAGGCGGCGGCGGCACCGGAGGGGCGGGGGGAGGTGTATGTGGTGGCGAGGAGCGAGGCGGAGGCCAGGAGGCTGGCGGAGGCGCAACACGGACCAGGGGTGGTGCTGAAACAGGTATGTATGTATGTATGTATGTATGTATGTATGTATGTATGTATGTATGTATGTATGTATGTATGTATGTATGTATGTATGTATGTATGTGTGTATGTGTGTATATGCCTCGCCCGGGCTCCCGCCGGTGGTGGCGTTCACCCCCCTGGGCCCCGGGCCCTAACCCCCTTCCCCCTTCCCCACCTTCACCTCACTCCGGTGTTTAATTCTTTTCAAATTGGCAAATTCACTCCCTTGTTCCCCACTGTGTCCCCCCCCCGCCCTTCCTCTATACACACACGCACACACACACACACACACACACACCGCGGCGCCACAGGAGGAGGACGTGTTGGACACGTGGTTCAGCAGCGGTCTGTGGCCCTTCAGCACCCTGGGCTGGCCCAACACCAACTCCCAGGAGTTCAAGACGTTTTACCCCACGCAGGCGAGACGGGGGGGAGATGAGGGGGGGGGGAAATGGGGGGGCATGGGGGGGGAGCGATGTCAAGGTGGGGTGGGACGGGAGGGATGCTCTGGGGCCCATTAATGGCCTAACTGACGTGCTGACTGACATATGGATGTACATACATACACGCGCTCTACCCCTTCCCCTCCCCCCCCGCCTCCCCTGCCAGATGATGGAGACGGGTCACGACATTTTGTTCTTCTGGGTGGCGCGTATGATAATGCTGGGGCTGGAGTTCACGGGGCAACCTCCCTTCTCCACCATATACCTTCATGGGCTGGTGAGTGGATGGGGGGGTGAGGAGGGTGGAGGGGGAAAATGGGGGGGGGTTAGGGTCGTGTTGTGTGGTATTATGAGTCGTACACTCCCACCATCTCTCCCGCTCCCACCCATTCCATCCATCCACGTGTCTCTGTGTGTCTGTGTGCGTGTGTGTGTGTGTTCGTGTGTGTGTATGTGTATGGAGTCGAGGCGATTTCTGGATGTTTTTCTCCCCCCTCCTCCCCCTCCCGTCCTGGCAGCGGCTTCACTCGTTTGTGGTTCGTCTTTCCCCTCCCGTCCCCTCCCCTTCCCCCCCTCAAACACACACCCCCCCGGGTCACCCCACCCCACCCAAAACCCCCCCGGCAGGTCCGCGACGAGAAGGGTCGCAAGATGTCTAAGTCACTTGGGAACGTGGTGGATCCGCTGGATACGATTGCGCAGTACGGCACTGATGCATTGAGGTTCACCCTGGCGACCGGTGGGTGCTGGGGCTGTATGCAAGTATGTCTGCAAGTATGTCTGCAAGTATGTCTGCAAGTATGTCTGTATGTGTCTATGTGGGGGATAATCTGGGGTAATTCTGATGGGGGGGATCTCTGCGTGTGTATCGGGGGGGGTTTGAGGGGAATGGGCCTAGAGTTTCAGAGGAGGAGGGTTTGGAGAGGCTGCACTGAGGTACGACAGATACACACACGCCGGCGGAGGAGAGAGGGGGAGAGACCGCGGGGGGGGGAGGGGAAACGGAATGGCTTAAAAGTGTTTCTGCGTATGTGTGTGTTTTGGGGGGAAGGGGGGAAGTTGCCATCCACGGGGGGGTGTTCCTTCCGTCCGCCCCCGGGGTGGAGGCGGGTGTCACGCCCTCCCCGTTCAAAACTCGTGTGACGGAGGGCTTCAAGCGCTGTGCGTACTCCTCCCGCACTGTACGGCATGTGCAGGTACGACTGTGGGTCAGGACCTGAACCTTTCCCTGGAGCGTGTGACCGCCTCCCGTAACTTCACCAACAAGCTCTGGAATGCGGGCAAGTTTGTGTTGTTTAACCTGGACAAGGTGAGGGGGTATGTAGGTATGTAGGTATGTATGTAGGTATGTAGGTATGATGTTGTTACCGGGTGGTATAGCTTCTCCAGCGGCCCCCTTTCCCAAGGCAGTTCCCTGCTCTCCCCTGCTAGAGGGGCACCCTAATCCACTCACCCCATCCGACATGTATTCGTTGTGTTCAGCAACTCACCACCAGCATCCAACCAAATCTCGCGGATCAACGGCGCCTCAGCTTAGTTCCAGATCAGCTCGCAAGTTGATATTATCACGTCCTACACCGTCCATAAGATGGGGGGCCACCTCCCATTTCAACACCTCTCACACACCCGAGCGGTCGGCAGGCGAATTTGAACCCGGACACTCCGGGAGCAGAAGCCAGGCCTTAACTTCTGCCAGCCACCTGCCTGTATGCATGTATGTATGTATGTGCGTCACATGTGTATGTATGTATGTGCGTCACATGTGTATGTATGTATGTGCGTCACATGTGTATGTATGTATGTGCGTCACATGTGTATGTATGTATGTGCGTCACATGTGTATGTATGTATGTGCGTCACATGTGTATGTATGTATGTGCGTCACATGTGTATGTATGTATGTGCGTCACATGTGTATGTATGTATGTGCGTCACACTCCGCGTCACACTCCTCCCCCAGGTGGGTGCGTCCGAGTGGGAGTCCCTGCGGGGGGTGTCCCTGTCGCGGGCCGAGGACCTGCAGCGGCTGCCCCTGGTAGAGAGGTGGATTGTTAGCCTACTGCACCAGGTACGACGTACGACAAGGGAAGGGCGGTACGGCAGTTTCGTATGGCTCCCCTTTGGGCCAGCAAATATGTATGGGGTCGGTTTGGCTTTTTGGTGTTTTGTTGAAGTGGGTGGACGGTGCCTGTGTCGGCGCTGCGGCCTTGTGTGTGGGGCCCACAAAAGCTGCGGGCCCCCGCTTACTTTTAATCTGAGTGCCGCCGCGGCGCGGGAGATTTCGTTGGTGACTCAAACTAACTTTGTAGTCCACCGACGTGTTAAGAGTATTCAAATGGAACTGTAGACTTGGTTGAATATTTTTTAAGTGGACGTTGATTAGAAGAATGAAGTCAGGGCTTCGAGTCCCATTCGCTCACCCCCTCCCCCCTTGGGAGGATGTCGCCCGTAGGTATGTGCGGGTGGGGGTGTTTAGCCCTGTCAGCTGTTTCTCACACACTCCCGGCCGCCGTACTGAGCGTGCACCTTGGCGGCCCCCCAGACGGTGAACGAGGTCAGCGATCGGTACGACAAGTACGACTACAACGCGGCGGGAATTACGGCTTACAACTTTCTATGGGACGAGTTTGCTGACTGGTTCATTGAAGCTTCCAAAGTGAGTCGAGGCTGTCGGGGCAATTTAACCCAGGAAGTAGCATATTGGGTTTGTAGAATAAATTTTGAGGTTCGCTTCTAGGATGAATTTTAGGATCGCTTCTCGGGGCAATTCTAGGATCAATATTGGATCGCTCCTAGAATCAATTCTATGAAATATTCTAGAATCAATTCTATGAAATATTCTAGAATCAATTCTATGAAATATTCTAGAATCAATTCTAGGAAATATTCTAGAATCAATTCTAGGAAATATTCTAGAATCAATTCTAGGAAATATTCTAGAATCAATTCTAGGAAATATTCTAGAATCAATTCTATGAAATATTCTAGAATCAATTCTAGGAAATATTCTAGAATCAATTCTAGGAAATATTCTAGAATCAATTCTAGGAAATATTCTAGAATCAATTCTAGGAAATATTCTAGAATCAATTCTAGGGTTCCAATGCCCGAAGTAGGGGCTGAAACGAAGATGCTCGGGACGGGTAATATTACTGCAGACGGAAGTTATATTTCACTACGTACAGCTCGCTGACTATCGCTTTGATATGATACCCGATTTACACGACTCAGTGATGCACAACTTCCGAACACGTCATTCCTGCGCTCACCCTTCCCCCCCAGACCCGCACGTACGGTGGCGATGCGGCCGCTCAGTCCGCCAGCCGTGCCGCCCTGGTGTACGTGTTTGAGAGCGTCCTGCGGCTGCTGCACCCCTTCATGCCCTTCGTGACGGAGGAGCTCTGGCAGGCCCTGCCGCACCAGGGTAGGTGCGCCCCTTAGTCGGTACGACACTCTACTAGGTCGTACACCCTTTTTGCTCGCTCCTCCTCCCCACTGCCCATTCAACTCCTCGCCCCCCTACTTCCCCCTTTGACGCACAAAAACACAGTCTTACCTATCTCTCTCCCCACGTGGTTACTCACAAACTCGTACACACCAGCTCGAAACCCCAATCCCCCAGGCCCCCAGGCCCCATCCCTTTCCCCCCCTCCCTTACCCAGATCCCCCCCTCCCCCCTCTCCCTCTTGCCCTGGCAGCAGCTTCACTCGTTTGTGGTTCGTGTTACACCCCCCTCCCCCCCTTACCCCCAGGTGAGGCCCTCATCATGGCTCCCTGGCCCTCCAGAGGCTGCCCGGTGGACCGGTCCGCGCTCACCCACTTCGAGGCGCTCAAGGGCTGTGTTCGTGCGCTCAGGAACGCCCGGGCCGAGTACAACGTTGAGCCGGGTCGTAAGATCGGGGCCACTCTGCTGGTGGAGGAGCCGGAGACACGGAGGGTGAGGCGCGGAGGGAACTTAGAAGGGAAAGGGGGGACGAGGGGGAAGGGGGAAGTGCTGTGTGTGCATGTGCGTGTGCGTGTGTTTTACCGACCTGTGATGCCGCGCACTTCCTCAACATGTACGACATGTATGACACGTAGCGCCAGTCGTGGCCGCTGGGGACCAGAGCTCGTTTATCCGCCTCTCACCCCCTACCTTGCGTCCCCTCCCG